TATATATAAATGTATGTAAGTCAAAATATATAGATTTAGATATATATCCAAATTACTGAATTGAAATCTGAAAAAAAGATTCATCAATTGCCTTCATGTAGTTTGTAGTTTGTAATATATTATTATTCTAAATATAAGGATGTATATATACTTATATTTATATTTCATAAAATCATGTATATTTATTAAGTGATAAGTGATAATATATAGATTTAGATATATATATATTTATATGGATATGTGATAAACATGAGATATACTTTATTCTTCAATTTTGACCAAAGAGTTCAATCATGTGTCATAGGGGTTAAATTACTTGTCTCCCACTACCTTCTATTTTTTACTGTTTTGGCCATTTAGATGCTTATTTTGTGGACCAGTTTCTTGCTAAGATTGGCTATATTTGTCATTTCCAGTTTCTTTGTCTCGATTTTGCATATTTCTTGTTTTTTACTGATGAACGATGAATACATAGCTACCAGAGATTTCATGCAAACAGTTTCCTACATTCACAGAACCAATTTACATGCAAATTACAGTGCATCTTGCATCTTACAACTTGCTTCATACAGTTTGCTTGAAATCAGGTATTCTCTTATGCCCAGCCAAACTTACTTCACATGAGCTGTTCAGTTGTTCCATGCTACTGGAAATTTCTTTTATCTCAATCTGTACTCAAGTGGTCGAAATTTCTTATAATACGCAGTAGCAGAGGTACTTTGATCAGCTTCGTCTGCTGTGTCCATGGAGGTCTTCTACTCTTTCTGCTTCATTCAGCTGCTTTTCTATTCTCTTTTAATATATTTAGTTCATAGCTCATTCCATCTGTACTGATAGCCTTCATGCTTTTTAGCTGAATAGTTTGTTCCTTACGTATCACCACATATATACCTATCTACCGATGTATGTACAAACAATATATATCTGTCCATACGCCTAGATTTTTCTCTGTCTATATTTGTTTCTTCCTTCGTGTACACCTATAAAAAACATGAGCTGCTCCAAGCTATCCATAAGGGATGATCCTGATAAACTTCGTGAGAAAAGGGGTAAGCGAAATCGTAAAAAAGAGAAAAATTTGCTGCTCTATCTGTCGAAGAGAAACAGGCTCAGCGTAAAAAAAAACAGAGAAGCTTATCAGAGGAAAAAATTGGAGAAAATGCTTTCCAAGTCCTTGCCACAACAATTTCAAGGGGCTTGTCAATCACCAGTTTCTGCATCTGTTATACGTAGCCTTTCTCCTCAACAATGTTCTCGTGGTACATAGTGATTCAAAAACTCTTATTATATTTTCATAATCTGTATGTCTATAGTATATTCATGATAACCTGTCTATTTCCCTTATTTCGTTCATGGTTAGCTTTGAATGATAATGTTACCGAACCTATTGCTTCTCAAACTTCCAAACACAACGAGAATGTTCATGGAATTATTGGTTGTAATCAAGGTTAGTCATAGAATTTATTGTTCTTTACCAATTTTTCTTACAATTTCAACCACTGGCTTTACGTATATTGAATTGCGAATTTTTTTGCCTGACCTTCAACTGATTCACGCAGTGAAATCTCATACTCTCATTTTACAGAACACTTTACAGGTACCATTTCTATCTACTTTAAATCAATGAATTCACCTAAACTTAGTTGTATATGTATCTGTGTTTCCTGTTACATTGTAGTCAATTAGACTGTTCATTGTTTCTTATCCTATTTCAATTCCATTTCCTTTTTTATAATATTCATGCCACCAATCTCAACTCTATCTATTGTAACAGGTGCTTCAAACCTGGTATTTGAATTTCTCTCTCTCCAAACAACAGTGATGAACTACCTTCTGCTGAGTTGGGTAGAAAATTAAAGCAACAGATTTCTTCCTTCTCAAGCTATGAGAAAGGTACATGGTGTAGTTTATTTTTAATATATCCCTCCTACTCAAATTATAAACACTATTCTATTGATACAATGCTCTACCTCCAATTTTTATATGCATGATCTGCTGCTAACTCTGCTACACAACATACATGTGTAGCTACTGACATGATACACAATGCAGGTCATTTAAGCTTCAAAATTGATCATTGATTGTTGCTCATTATATATAACCATCAACATTATGATCATCAGCTATATTAGTATTCTTCTTTACTTTTCAGATAAATCATTTATATGCATGAACTGCTGCAAATTCTTGACAGAAATAGCTGAACAAACTTCAGGTCATAAATCTTCTTTCAGCTTTTTAAAAAAACTGCTGATGCGATTGTGTCTAACAATTCCATGAACTTTATCTTGAATAGATTTGTCAGCTATCCTCCCAACATACCAGGTGTATCAAGTCCCTGATAATCGTTATGCTAAAACAATGAGAACTGCAGGTTACTAGCTTTGATGTGAATTTATTACCTTGTGTATAGAAAAACTCAAATTAGCATATCAGCTGCTTGACAATTGTCATAAGATTGTCATTTTATTCTCAATTTTGTTGTGTACCAACAAGTTTCTCAGTTCTGACTATGGTTGTTTTATCAGATGATAAGCACAAATCTCAACTATTTTAAATCTTGTTCTTCCATGCTCATACAGTTTATTTCAGACTCATATTTTAGTAAACTATTTGTAAACTAATTTGAGATGAACAATCCATCAAATAATAATCTGATTAAAATATATTAAACTCTTTAATTGCTTCTGATGTTGATCAAAATGCTTCAGTATGCATTATATAACCTCAAACCACTTCTGTTCATGCAAATAGCTTGGTCATATTGGTAGCACTATGTGTATAAAGGTTATGCCTTCTGTTTCTAATTATATATACTTGAATCATTCAGGCAAAAGCCATTCATCAGCGAAACAAGTGAAAGCTATTAATAACAAAAAGAAAAAAAACAGAGGTATAGATTACAAATCACTGATTGTTCCTCTTTTACCTCCTTATTTTCACTTCCAACCTTTAGTTTAGCTGAACTAATTGGTAATTCTATAGGTAATCAGGCTGTTGATGGAGTTCATGCACTCCAATTTATTAATGATCAGGCAGATAGATTACCTCCAAAAGCTGATTGTCAGTACTGTGGAGCAAAAAAACTGCACTCTGAGACACCTAATTTCTGTTGCTCTGACGGACAAGTAGTTCTACATGAAAATAAATTGCCAGATATTCTTGTGAAATTGTTCACTGGTCATTCTGATGAAGCTTTATCCTTTCACACATATGTCAGAACATATAATAATATGTTTGCCTTTACTTCCTTTGGTGTACACTATGACAAATCGCTTTGCAAAAGAACAAATGGCATTTATACCTTCAAAGTTCAGGGACAAACCTATCACTTTATCAAAGACCTTATTCCACATAGAGGATCTGGATTGTATCTACAACTGTATTTTCATGATACGGACCATGAGCTTCAAAACAGAATGGCAGTTTCAGAAAGATTAACAGAGAGTATAGTAATGAAAATCATGAAAGTCATGATGTCTAATCCATACGCATGTTTTTTCCACAATCTAAGAAACGTTCCAAATTTAGATTCATATCAGATAGTCCTGAAATCACATTCACAGAATGATCAACGAGTATTCAATCACCCAATAGCTTCTCAGGTTGCAGCTCTTTGGACGGAAATAGAAAGTTCAGGAACAAGTTATACTAGACACATTAAAATTTATACAAAAGAAGGAAGGGATCACCTCGTGCAGTACTATTATAGGTGTTACGATCCTCTGCAATATCCACTATTATTTGCACTTGGTGAAACAGGCTGGCATCCTGGAATCAGAAGATTGGTCAAAGAAAATCCCAAAAAGAGAAAAAATGTATTCAGAGAAACAAATCTACTGCTCTCCTGACCAATTACAAATCTGCTGAAAACATGATATCTGCTGCAGAACAAGAGGTATTCCTAACATGAATAACTAATACATTATCTATATGCAAATGATTTATACATTACTTATATACATTGCTCAGATGTTACTTATATAATTACTGATGTCCAGCTACTTGTTTCAAGAACATAGTACTCCCATTATTTTCCATTAACCTCAGATCATGCTATATCTTATCAAAGCATGCAACTTCATATGCTGAAACCAGTAACTGATACCTTATTTTTGTAACTTTCAGTTTCCAATGATCCTGAAAACAACGGTGAATTTGTGTCAATGCGAGAATATTATGCTTATAAATTGCAGATCATAGACAAATATTCTCCAAACATACTTAACACTGGCAGATTACTTCAGCAATATGTTGTGGATATATACATCAAAATTGAAAGTCAAAGATTGGATTACTATGAGAGTAAACAAGAATTTATAAGAAAAGAGCAGCTGCAAAGCATAATGGATAATGTTATAACAGGTCAATGCCAAGGTTCAAAAGTAGGCCAACGAGTAGTGCTTCCAGCTTCATTCATAGGAGGCCCTCGTGACATGAAAAGGAGATATGTTGATGCTATGGCTTTGGTCCAGAAATTTGGTAAATCAGATTTATTCATTACAATGACTTGCAATCCTTCATGGCCAGAAATAAAGAATCTCATGCTTCCAACAGATGAAGCGCATAACAGGTCGGACTTGCTCAGTTGAATCTTTCACACAAAGCTTGATGTTTTAAAACTGAAGTTATTCAAGAAAGAAATATTTGGATCTGTTGCTGCTTACACCTATGTCATAGAGTTCCAGAAACGCGGTCTACCTCTTACTCATTTCCACATAATTATGAAGCCATGTTCAAAACTTTACTCCACAGATTCTTATGACAGGATAGTTAGTGCAGAGATTCCAGATCAAAGCAAAAATTCACATCTTTTTAACATGGTTCACTGACACATGATTCATGGCCCCTGTGAAAACAAAAATCCAACCAATGTTTGTATGCGAGGAGAACATCAGAGAAAATGCAGGAACAATTATCCAAAACCATTTGCCGATAAGACATTTCATGGAGATAACACATAGCCCACTTATCGAAGAAGAAACAATGGATACAAAATAATGGTCCGTGGACATGAGGTCGATAACAGATGGGTTGTTCCATACAGTCCTTACCTTCTTGTAAAATTCAACTGCCATCTGAACGTTGAAATCTGTTCTACAGTCAAGGCAGTGAAGTACATGTATAAGTACATCTACAAAGGTCATGACAAGATTCATTTTCAACTCAATTCCCAGAATTCTAATGAGCTAAATTTTGATGGTCATGTCTCTGCAATCGATGAAATCAAAGACTATCAATCAGCTAGGTGGGTATGCGCTGTGGAAGGTATATGGAGAATATACAGATTGTTGATGTTTCAAATACATCCTGCTGTTATTCACTTATAGCTTCACTTAGAAAATTGTCAACCATTGAATTTCAGAGAAGACAAAGACCTACGTGATATAGTAACAAATAGATTTGCTAAGAGAACCATGTTGACAGAATTTTTTTACATGAATTCTACTGATTTTCTAGCTCAGAACCTCAAATGCACTTACAAATAGTTCCCTGAGCACTTTGTTTGGTATCCAGGAAGGAGAAAATGGGAACCAAGAAAACTGAAAGACTGTATAGGTAGGATAGTAACAGCCAGCCCAATCGAAGGAGACGATACTTTCTCAGATTGCACCTCATACATGTCAAAAGTCCAACTTCATTCGATGACTTAAGAACAATAAATGGAGCATATGCACATACTTTTCGTGAGGCAGCAATTCTCAGGGGTTACTTTGAGTTTGATAAGTCACAACAACAATGCCTTAAGGAAGCAGCTATGTATCACATGCCATATACTTTGAGAAGATTATTTGCCACACTACTTGTTCATTTTCCTCCTTCAAATGCCAGATATCTTTGGGAACAATTTGAAGAGCCATTATCTGAAGATATTAGCAGAACTCCACAAATATCAGTTGATCAAATCCGCTTCTAGGTGCTGCACCAGATAAATGAGTTCCTACAATCAATGGGAAAAGACATCAATCAGTATGCTTTAGTTCCAAATATCATGAATTTTGATAGCTTGAACAAGAACACTCGTGATACAATAGCTGAAACAAGAATCTGTGTACCAGAGCATGACCTATTAGCAATTGAGCAATTAAATGCTGATCAGAAATTTTTTTTGATATTATCATAAATGCAGTTTTTGTTGAGAAAAAAGGAGCCTTCTTCATTGATGGACCAGGTGGAATGAGAAAAACATTCCTTTATCGAGCACTACTAGCAGAAATCAAGTCAAAAGAATACATAGCTCTTGTTATAGCATCCTGTGGAGTTGCGGCTTCGATTCTCCCAGGTGGAAGGACAGCTCACTCAAGATTCAAGATACCAATTGGTGGAACACGAGATAAGCAATGCAGAATTAGTAAATAAAGCTCATTAGCAAAACTGCTGCAGTCTGCAATTCTGATAATCTGGGATGAAGCTCCAATGACACATAAGACTTCAATTGAGAGTGTTAACAAAATTCTGAGGGACATAATGGACTGCAACAATTTGTTTGGATCAAAGGTTATTATTTTTAGAGATGATTTTCGTCAAGTCTTACTAGTAGTAACAAAAGGATCAAAATCTGAATTTATTGATGCAAGCATAGTGAACTCATATATATGGCCACAGCTACATAAGTTGCATCTCACTCAAAATATGAGAGCAAGATATGATGCACAGTTTACTGAATATCTACTCCGTATCGGAAATTGAACAGAGCCACTTATCTCCAAGAATTCTATCCAGATACCTGTATCAATGCTGATAAGATATACCAATGAGAAAGAATCAATGAACACATTGATCCGGACAGTCTTCCCAGATTTGAATGCTTTTTGCCAGGACAATTTCTCTGCAATTAATCGTGCTATTCTGACAGCAAAAAATGACTTTGTCGATCAAATTAATCAGGGGTTCATTGTACAGTTAGAAGGACAATTGCAAGAATATATCAGCCGAGACAAGTGTATAGATAGCTCTAAGCAGACAATCATGGAAGATTTGCTAAATAGTTTGACTCCAAATGGTTTTCCCCCTCATAAGCTGCTTCTCAAACCATACTGCCCTATCATGTTACTGAGAAACATTGATCCACCTCAGGGATTATGTAATGGCACCAGACTGATATGCAAATCCTTGAGCTCCAATATTATACATGCAGTCATAACATGTGGAGAATTTGCTGAAAAAGAGGTCTTCATTCACAAAATCTGTTTCAGAGCACAGAATAATTCAGACTCACCAGTATTATTCGAACGAATTCAGTTTCCTGTTCGACCCTGTTTTGCTATGACAATAAACAAAGCTCAAGGACAAACACTTGATTTTGTTGGCATATATTTGCGTGAGTCGATTTTCTCCCGTGGACAGCTATACGTAGCAATATCAAGAGTTAAGAATAGTAGTTCTATTAAAATTCTGATTAAACCATTGATATTTGATGACCAAGAAGACTCAATTACTGAAAATATAGTATATACAGAAGTACTAGATTTAGCTTATCAATAACTCCCCTAACCATGTGTATATGAGTTATTTGTCTATATTTATGATTTTACATCTCTTTTTCCCTTCATCCAGTATTTACCTACTCTTATTATGAGTTGTAGGAGGAAAAAATATGGTCTCATTTGCTGAAATAATTCCTGGACTACAAAACTGGACAACTATGGTTCATGTTCTAGACAAGCAAAAGCCATTACTCTCAAAGACAGGAAATCGATATCAGAAGCTGATATTAATTGATCAGCAGGTAATCCAAATTGTCAATTTCAGCACATGTCCTTTATTACTCAATTTTCACATTCATATCAAGACAACCATGACTGTTCTCAGGGGACAACAGTTGAAGCAATGATTTATAAATTAGACATAGAGTTTTTCCAAAATCATTTCCAACTCTACAAGCGATATATTCTCTGCAATGCTAGAGTTGAGTACACACCATCAGAGTATTCCACTCATCCAAATCAGTGTACATGGTACATAGACAATTCTACTGTTGTTCAAGTAGTGAATGAAGTCGAACCACCTCAGATTCCAGCTGTGTTCAAATTCTCGCCCTATAGAAGATTCCACCAACATATGGATGATAACACAGATATAGGTAACCAAGAAATCTTACTACTAACTTGCTACTACACGTAATTATCATTAGAGTTATAACTCGGCAGAATTCAAAATCAGATGTCCTAGGCATTGTCATTGAAGTTCATCCCCGGATAGAAAGGGCCACTACAGCTACTAGAGAAGTGGTACTTATAGATAAAAGGTGTGTAAAACTATCCATTTATTCTATATCAGTTCTGAACCACCACACATTCATATAAATACTCTGTTCTAACAAATGTTTCACGTATCAATCAAATACACTACAACATGATGCCTGTTATTCTAACACTATGGGGCAAGCATGAAACAGATGAAGGCCAAGCACTTGCAAATATAATTGATACAATGCCACTGATTGTTGCACTTCGGATTCAAGTATCATCATATCACAGTGAGTACATAAGAAATTCATTATGCTCCACATATTTTCTAACTTAGAACATACTGATAATACCATATACATTATGGGGCGTAAATATTGCAGCACTGAACCTGTCAACAAAATTTGGATCAAGCATTCTCCTTAATCCTCCAATACAACAAGCTGCTGATCTCAAACACTGGTGACAATTCTTCTCAGAAAATATGATTCAAAAATATTTTCTATTAACTATATATTGTGAACCTTACAAATAAAACTTCTCTCTTCACTCACAAGGGTTGCTGAGAATGAAGCAGAAATCAAAAAACTGATAGCAGAAAAATCATACCACAACCGAGTTAACCTTCTACCATAGCCAAGGGATGACGAGCTGACCACTATTCAAGACTTCCTCGCATTTCCTACGGTAAATTTTACATCCCATCATTTATTGACAATAATATTTTCAGATTTCTAACTACTCACTATAATTCAATACAGAAAAAAGCTTACTGGTTGCGTGGTACTCCAAAATTGCTAGACAAAAGCCAGCGATTATGGTATAATACTTGTCCACAATGCCATAAATCATTCAGAGCAAAGCCTATCTGGAAAATTGTTTGCACCTCATGCAACAAACACGTGAACATAGCTGCAAGATGTCGATTAACTGTGGAACTTGTTGATTATTCTGGAGTTTTAACGTTTGATCTTTATGATAACGATGCCTTTCAATTACTACCTTTCACACTTTCGCAGATGCAAGAGTTAGAAAAGAAGGTAAGAAATATTGTTTCCATATGCATATAGAATATTGTGATTAACAAGTAAGTATAGCGTATCTGATGTCAACCTGTTGATTTTAATTGCACAGCATGAACTGAACTATCAAGCTATTGAAGAGGCCATTAACAACACTCTTATAACATGCTTTGTGAAGAAAATGGTAAACAGCCATGGATCTGGCAGTACTGAAAAATACTCTGCCATTATTCTCTACAAAACCCTCATAGCAGAGGTTATATCACAAGTTCCTTCGACCATTGGCTATTCAGAACCAAATCCATAACTTCCTTCCACTAGTATTGATGAAAATGTGGTCAGTACTACTCCAAAAGACACAAATGTGAATTCCAGTTGTCTCTCTACTCTTAAGATCAGTGAGAGCCCAACTAAAAAGCAATACAGCGACAAGTATCAAAAGCAAGATTGAAAATGCCATATACTGGTTTTTGCTATTACATATTTTTGAAGCTCTACTGGCTTAACTTTTGATAGCTGAAGCTTTCCTGTATTTTGTGGTCTTCAAATATTTTAGCAGCTTTTGTATACTTGCTCAGCTTTCCCTGCACTTTTGCTTAAGGATAGTTAGCTAAGCTTTTTCAAAGTGGAAACGTACCACAGTTTCATGTATAACTTTTGATATTTGCAACTTGGCTACTCAACTTTCTATCCCTTAACGTTTGGTTCGTCAAGTTTTAGTACAGTTTGTGATTTGCAAATATTTCAGCAGGTTTTGTACACTTCATCAACTTTCCCTGCATTCTTACTTAAGTATTGTTACCTGGGCTTTTTCAAAGTCCAAACGTACCAGAATTTCATTTATAGTTATTGAGAACCAATCACATAACCAATACTTGCACCACAGAAACTAATCTCCCTTCACTCCCTTTGTTTTGCTTTCTGCTATCAGTCAAAAGTGATTCGAAATTTACAATCATTTATTCATTCCACCTTCATTCCCAAAAAAACCAAACACCACACTACAATGCAACTGATTAATAACTCACTAAATACAAAAATAGATACACCAAGTACAAATATCATCCAACTGAAGTTGCTGAACACAATATCTAAGCACCAACTTACACATGGAATACACTAGAGTACAACAGCAAACAATTCCATACTACAAATTATAAAAACTCATGGAAACATGCATAGCTATCCCTTACAAATTTCTGCCAGCCGCATCAGAAAATCCACCCATAGCACTTTGAATTGCTTTTCTCTGTTCTTCAACTTCTACTTCCATACGACCAGCAATGATCTGCAGAAACGATAATTCTCCAATATTTTCTAATGTATTTTCCGTTGCACGAGCTTTCTCCGGATGTCGATAAAAAGATTTGAACAAATCATATATCTCATTCCTAAGTAGAATATTATTTGCTAAAACTCGATCTGCACCCCTCAACATCCCATTATCTTCAGTATGCCTAGCCAAATTTCCCCGCACACCACTTAATGATAACCGATTAAGCATAACCTCAATATTTGGATGCAAATCACAATATCTGGATGCAAATCGCGCAATACTCCAATACGATTGTGAGTGTAATTCATGTTAAACTAAGAAAAATCAGAAACATCAATCACAATATACCAACTAAATAATGAAATCACAGAACTAAGAAATTTATACACAACAAGTACATCATAAACCAAAAACAGACAAATACAAAAAACAAAATCATACTATACACATGTGAACCAAACAATAATAACAATGACATATATACCAGACAAAAAAACACTATACACACGTGAATCCCCTACTCTTTCTACAAACCAAAACAAAAGCAATCAATCGTCAAAACACATGTCAACCTCCCAAACATGAACCTGTCCCATTACATTGTCCCAACATTCACAAAAAGCTTGGTACTCTGTATTATCTTCAAACACACGCCTCTATCAATTTTATCATATCCACTCGAATCTCCTACAATTATTCATCATTCATTGGTCCCAAATCTTATACATAACATGGAACATATTAACATATCGCATAAATATCCTTCATTTTATTACGCATTTAATCCGGATGTAAATTTTTAAACACATTCATCAGTTTATAGATACAAATCTGTAAACACGTTCAATTCACAAGTTTTGCTTATTGCTTTATTGCATTTGTAAATTCTGATCTTCTTTGCTAAAAGAATTATATTCTTGGCAAAAACTGCACCCTACATTCCTATGAATTTTCCCCAATCGAAAACTAATACATTCCATATTTTAAAATTTTTACAAATTTTCATTGCATACCATCGTAACACACTCATACAAATAAAAGCATCAGTACTTTATACAACAGATACAAATACATATGATGCTACTTTATGTCGCAAATACAAGATTATCATATCCTTCACAAACTGACAAACACATCTTAATGGCTAAAAACCATACGCCAAAGACCAACAATATGCAAACTAACAAACACATCTTCGCAAACTCCAACTCCTTAATCACTTTCGCCATCCAGTCACTAGAAGATGGCGGACTGGGAAAGTAATACTTTTCTTCTAACACCTCCAGCCTCATTCTGTTGGCAATCAACCCCAAGATCGGATAGCCTCTTCCAGTCCTAAGCGCAGCTTCCAAAACTGAAGCCCAATCATCATGCCTGTAAAGCTCTTTAAACAAATCACATAATTCATTTTTCAGCAAAACATTTGTCACCTGAGCTCGTGCAACAGGTTCTGCCGGACGATTTCGACACCCATTTCCCATAGGATAAGCTGCTCCACGAACAACAGCCAGTTGATTGACCTCTTCATCCACCTCTGGATAATATAATTGAACAGTAGGAAATCTTGCGCTTCCGCTCGCCATTTGCAAACGCTAACTATCTACAGACAAGTACCGAATATATACTACTTCTCACTGTATGAGCTTCAACTACGTAAGGAACAAACAATACTACAGACCCGTGAATTTTCTGTACTTTTTACCCTGCTCCCTCCCTGCAAATTACACGTCTCATACCACCTGCACACGGAAACAACTAGCTGCCATGCAAATGTCAACACCAGATATATTCTAACACCGTGAATAGGGATGAACATTCTGGTACATCTATGCCTTTGTACGGTAATAAAACTTAATAGACTAACATCCCTTAATAAATTTAATAAACGTAATAAAGATATAATAACTCAAACATATTATAAACATATAAAAAATAAATACTAGTACATAATTTAATAAATATAAAATAAAATAATAATATATACCAATACTAATCTATATATAATTTAATAAACCTATATACTAATATATATAATACTAATATATACTAATACTAATTTACATATAATTTAATAAATTTACATATACACAATATTAATTTAATATATACACATACAAATTAAGCATTAATAATCCCCCCTACACGTACAAATAATTAAGTATTAATTATTCATCCATCTAAACCAAAACCTCTTTTTTCTTAACTAACTTTTTAAAACCATTTTATTCAACACACATTTACAAACCAGAAACCAAGGGCCTGTTTGGAAGCCAAGTTTTTAAGCAAGTTTTTTACCTACTAGTTTTTTAACAATTTTTGCTACAGGAACCCCAAAAAATTTATTCAAAATTTTTAACCTATACACTTCAAAAATACACAAAAACTTTCCCTTCAACTTTTCTTCTTTTTCCTCCCCCACCCAACCTACCACATCCTCCGCCGCTGGCCACCACCTCCACCACCGCTTTCGGCGCCGGTCACTATTCCGGCCGCCAGTTCCGGCCTTCCTCTTTTTTTTTTCTCTCTCCCTCACCCCCTCTCCACCTCTCCACTCCCCCTTTGACCGATCTGTTGGTGCCCTTCTGAAAATTTTTTCATTTTTTTTTCTCCCTCCCCCTCCCCTCTTCGCCTCTGCCTCCCCCGTCACTCTCCCCCTCCCCCTTTGACTGATCTAGTTGCGCGACCAGATCTCAAAAGAGGAGAGGGGAAGGAGAGGGGAAGGAGAGGGGCGGCGGGGGAAGGAAGGGGAAGGGGAGGGGCGCGACCAGATCGCTTCGCGAAGGGGGAGAGGGAGGGTGGTGGGGGCGGGGAGGGGCGGCGGGGGAAGAAAGGGGAAGGGGAAGGGGAGAGGGAGAGGGAGAGGGAGAAGAGGGATGGCGGGGAAGGGAGAGGGGAAGAGAAAAAAAGCAAAAAAAAAAAGGGGTGGCGGGAAGGAAGGGGAGAGGAGAGAGGGAGAGGGAGGAGGAGAGGGAGGGAGAGAGGGAGGGGTGGCTGCCAAGGAAGAGAAAAAAAGCAAAAAAAAAAAAAAAGACAGAAAGAAAGTTGCTGCCATGGAAATCTCCGGGAGAGGGAACACGGAAGGGAGAAGAAGCGGGAAGGGAGGAAGGAAAAGAAAAAAGAAAGAGATTAAAAAAAGAAAAAAGAAAAAGAAAGAAAGAAAATGAAAAGGAAAAAAACTTTTTATCTTACAAAAGTTTTTCTACAACTTCTACAGTGATCTACGATAAAGTTTTATACAAACATCCAAAAAACTCACCTTCCAAACAAGCCCCAAAGTTTAGCAGAATTATACTCTCCTACCGATGCGCGGGCCAGTCCCCTAGTATATATATATATATATTATACCTCCGCTACGAGGTACCATTTCGGAGGAGCTGAGCAAAATGCCCTTCGTGACGGAGGGAAACAAAACAACCGAGCACCGCCGTGCTTCCTCTTCTTCCGAATTTCCTGTTTGTCAGATCACTAATTGAATTCATCTAACCTAGTAATAACTCCCCTTTCATCATTAAGTTCGCTTTTCTGTATTCGCCCCGGTTAAAAACCCTCCACCTCCACTCAAACACTCTCTTAAAACCCCCGTTCCCTTCTTCCTCAGTCCCCTCTGTACAGTTTAATTTTCTTTCCCTCCCTCTAATTTTCGCTGCTCCTTACCCTGAGCCTAACTTATCAGTTTTACCGGAGGAATCGTTTTTTAATCGTCTACAATGAGTCCAGTTCAGAATTTCGAGCAACATTCTCACCACCTCGTCGAACCCGACCTCCGTATACTCTCTTCCCTGATGCCTTTATTTTGTAACTGTTTTTTTTTCTTTTACATGTAATTTATTGTTCAATTAATTTTTTTCTTTTTTGTTTGGTTGTTTCTGGGAGCAGCAATTAAGACGAGGTTACAGATGGCAATGGAGGTTCGGGATAGTTTGGAGATAACACATACGGGGGAGTATTTGAACTTTTTGAAGTGTTATTTTCGAGCATTTTCAGTAATTTTATATCATATTACGAAGCCGCAATTTACTGATAACCCTGAGCATAAGCTGAGAAATATTGTGGTTGAAATTCTGAACCGTTTGCCACATAGTGAGGTTTTAAGACCATTTGTTCAGGAGCTTCTTAAAGTGGCAATGCACGTGTTGACTACCGATAACGAAGAAAATGGCTTAATTTGTATTCGTATTATATTTGACTTGCTTAGGAATTTTAGGCCTACACTAGAGACTGAAGTTCAGCCCTTTTTAGATTTTGTTTGCAAGATTTATCAGAATTTTAGGGTTACTGTTAGTTACTTTTTCGAGAGCGGGGCTGTGGCAGTTCCCCCACCTGTTGCACCAGGGTCATTGGGGTCTGCATTGAGTGGGGATGATGGGAAGCCAATGGATGTTTCTGATCAAGTGGGCCCCTCAGGCGGGCATGTTACGCAAGGGCAGCTTAATCCTAGTACTAGGTCATTTAAGGTTGTTACAGAGAGCCCTTTGGTGGTGATGTTTCTGTTTCAGTTGTATAGCCGGCTTGTTCAGACAAATATTCCACATTTGTTGCCGCTAATGGTGGCTGCCATATCAGTTCCGGGGCCTGAGAAGGTTGCTCCTCATTTAAAGAATCACTTTACTGAGCTCAAGGGTGCACAGGTTAAGGTATGGAGTAGAAAATCTTGACATCAATTTTTTGGTTAATATCTGAAGTTGTTACCTGTACTTTTCCTTTTCGTCTTTTAGATATGGAAAACTTTGCTATTGTGAGGTGGTGTGTCCATGGGATCCTTTTTCGTTTTCAATTCTTTTTTGGGGGGTGGGGGCAATGGGAAGGTTGAACTCCCATAACGTCCCGTGACAAAGTCAGGCCACTATACTGTTTGAGAGACATTGAAAGACTCTGGAAAAGTCTATTTTTCTAATTCATGTGCATGTTCCAAATTGTACTGCAGTTGCAGTTGATTTAGGGGTATGCTGCTTGTTTACACGCATAAGCATATTGTTTGTCGTAGTTGGTGTTCCTGCTTGACCAACTGACAAAATTTTTAAGTTCTGTATACTAGACTGTATGATACTTGACCATCTTATGAAATTTACAGCTGAATGGACATATGGACATTCATCTTTTCTTTTTTTCTTGCTGTAATTCTCTTGATATTTGTTGCTAGGTTAGTTTGACACTATTAATCTAGTAGACACCAGTGAACTTTCTTTGCCACTGGTTCATGTACGTGGTATCATTGTTAAGCAAAGAATTGTGCTGTGGAGATTGTGAGTGGAAGGTTGGTACTGTGATGTGGAGTTTTAGCTACATGGTTATGAGAAGGGGGGGGGGGGACTTGAAGTACATATATGCTTGTCCCATATCTTTGAGATCATGTGGAATTGTTTACCATTTTTCTTACTCCTTTGACTTGTATGTGTATGCAGACAGTTTCATTCTTAACTTACCTGCTGAAGAGTTTTGCTGATTATATTAGACCACATGAAGAAAGCATTTGCAAAAGCATTGTGAACCTGCTTGTCACGTGTTCTGATTCTGTTTCTATACGAAAGGTGAATGGTTTGTCGTACTTCATCTAATGCAGCCCCTTTAATTGTGTATACATATTTTTGACCAACAAAGCTTCTTGGCTGCAGGAATTGTTGGTAGCTCTAAAACATGTTCTTGGAACTGATTTTAAGCGGGGTTTGTTTCCTCTGATTGACACGCTATTGGAGGAAAGGTAAACATTTTACTTCTTATTTGATGTTGCATCCATATTTCTAAGGTTGTCAAGTCACTATCCCCTTGTCTTGACAAACCAGAAAAAATATCATTATTTTCTCTATCTGGTTTGGTCTGATATGTACTGCATTCTGTACTATATTGCTGATTTTGTGTATTCTGTAAGGCCCTGAATTTGTTGTATGCAGTGTATACGATATAGCTCGGTAAACTGCTTGGCATGCCTTAATTCTTCCCAAAACCTTAATTAATGCTTGAGTCTAGTAGTGCTCATCAGCGTGTATTTAGATCTATTAATTGATGAAATAAAGCTTTTGTTACATCATTTCTCTCCATATGTGGTGCTTTGTGGGTGAGTCATTCTTTCTGTTAGCTTTTAGAGGTCCCACTATTATGTGATCAATCTTTTGTGAAAAAAATATTTGGCCTTTGTAGACTGAATGCGTGAATTACTTCCTGATGCATGCATCTTTTAGTTGCTTGTTTTCTCAAATCTATTGGTTTGTTACAAGTAAAAGGGTAATTAATCAATTTGCTCTTTTGCTTTGGAAGTCATTCTCACCTCTGAGATTTATGTTGCCATGAATTGTATCAGGGTCCTTGTTGGAACCGGGAGAGCATGCTTTGAGACTTTAAGGCCTTTGGCCTACAGTTTACTGGCAGAGATTGTTCATCATGTTAGGGGAGATCTTTCTTTGTCTCAGGTATGATCAGAGTAATGTTGGTTTATCATTTTCTTAGAAACAGTAGCGTAAATTTCTTTGAGTGATTTTGGGAAGTTGGTGTTGGTTGTAATGCAACTTCCTTTCTGCTGGCTTTATGACTATTCATCATACAAGAAGCTTGCCCTGCAGAAAGTTTGTGGGTTAAGGACCATGTTGTCAGTGGTTTTTTTTTGGGGGGGAATAGTTGCTGTACTGATGTGCCTTTTTGCTGGCATTGTTAGGAAGTGTTATGATGTTGATCCGTATTCTGATATTCTATTCTTTGTGCGGGTCTGTGAGTGCCCAAAGTTGTACATTGACCCTATAGGATAAAGATAGTTGGATTGAGCAGAAACTTGTTAAAACAGAGTGTGATGGAAAATATCTGATTTTTTCTCTTTCTCCTTACTATCACTTCCTCTTGACTTAAGAGTATGTTTAGAAGACAACTGCATTTGAAATTTGTCTGGGGACATAGCAAGGATTCTGGATAAATAATGGTGCAAAATGTCAATGATAAGGCTAATGTCTCATGAGTACTGAAACTGCATTTCTTGCTAGCACGGCAGCTAAGTTGTGGGCTCAGTTTTTTAGGAAAGAGTTTAAGCTTTTCCAAGGAGCTTTGTGAGATGAAACCTTTTTGAGGTTAACAAGTTATGAGGTTGTCCAGCATTGGAAGGCTGTGTAACCTCAGATGGGCATGTCTAGGACCAATGAGCATGTGTTCCCATTTTAGCACATTTGGGGTTGAGATGAAGTATGATGAAGGGGATCGGACAAACAGGGGTGAGGAGCAGCTCAGATTCTCAGGAATCTGTTCTTGAAGATGTTGGCAGAACCCTTTTCTAGAGGACTGCAAAAGCTGAAAATCATTTGCTTGGTCAGCTTTTCAAGTGCTTCCGGTTGGAGCATAGAAAATCTCTTTGAGCAAAGTTCATTTTGATGTCTGTGCACTTGTTTTGGTGTTTGAACTCCACGAACTTCTGATTACTTTTAATGAGAGCAAAAGTTTTTTTATCATATCAGATGATACTGGGACGTTATTCCTTTGCTGGAAAATTGAACATGGGATTTAGTTGTCCTCTTCCTAAAAAAAGTTTTGCCTGAGATTTTTTCTTTGAGTGTCCATGAACTTTCTATGAGACTAAGCACTACAGGATTATCTGGTGTGCAACTTGGGTTGTATTGGATGTTCTTTGTAGTATTTCATCAATAGTGCCCCAATATGAGCAATTGAGGTTTGCGCAAATCCTGATTTTGGACAAATAAGCCAATTTACCTTTAAATTATTAGTATTTGGAAGCAATTTATTTGGAGATGTGGAAAAAAGGTTGATTGTCCAAGTTACTTGGAAAATAACTTTTTTTTATGTTAAATAATTTAAACCCAAAACGTGGGTACTCAATCTAGACCTGGTGTCATTTTGTTTGAACTAACAAGTTTTGGCAACAGCACTTTTTCTTATAGGATTGATTATACATTTACTTACAGTTCTCACAGTGTAATTGTCATGGCATTCATGATTGATTTGTAGTCTATGGATCCTTACATGCAGTCGTAATTTGTTCCAGCCTGTGGTATCATATGAACTGTGACCACGTGTCTCCGGAACTTGGACAATGTTTTCCAATAATTGATCCATTGATTTCCTTGTGGTGCAGTTATCGAGGATCATTTACTTGTTCTCAAGTAACATGCATGATGCTTCATTGTCACTCAGCATTCATACTACGTGTGCTCGCTTGATGTTAAATCTGGTAGAACTTCTAATCAACTCTCTTAGAAAGATTATTATTTCTTTTATCGAGCAAAATATTTTCTCAATACTAAAGCCTTGATAATGTGAGTTTGCAACTGCTCTTCTGATGATATGTATAATTGTCCTCTTTTTCTGATTGTAGGTAGAGCCAATTTTTGAGAAAGGCGTTGACCAGCCATCGATGGACGAAGCACGGATTTTATTGGTTAGAAACCCATTCAACCAGTTTGCTATTTCACACACACACCCACACAAAAGTGTATGAGTTATATTTCCAGAATTGGAATAAATTATGGTTCTCTTCCATTTAGGGTCGAATTTTGGATGCTTTTGTTGGAAAATTTAATACTTTCAAGCGCACTATTCCCCAGGTATTAGAACTTTCACATACTTTTCAACATTTAGTTCCTCTTAAATCATATTTAGAAAAGTATGTGCTAAACTATCTGAGCATTTCCAACTTTTTGCTAGTTTCTCTGTTCCTCTATTGGTTGGCTGGTCACATCTTTGCTGAATTGATTCAGGTGGTGCTGCTGGCGTAGGTTTTGGTTTTATGATGTATGACTAAAACAACCATGTAATATAGACTGAAAGAGTTGCTGTTATCAGGCTAATACAGCCATGTTAAACATTGACCAATTAATTGCAATTTGATTTCTGCTATAAAATCCAATACTTTTACTTTGAAATGGGCTTTCTAGTAGCCTGTGTCTTGTTAAGAATTGTAAACCAATTGCATGATCTGCACGCTACCTGCATAAAAGAACCTGATGGAAGTGATGGTCCTCCTTTTAGATGACTTATGACATCGATAAACATCTGGTTCAGCATTACCTAGAGTAATCTGTAGTTTGAGAAAAAGGAGAGCCTTTTCAACCAATAATCTTTCTGAATGTGAATGGAAAACCATCTCCAACTTTGTGAGAGATAATCTAAAATTCAAGGTACTACACTTCTGATTTGAACTACACAATTTAATTAGAAAAGCATCTCAAAGTTTGCAAGAAATGATTTGTAGTACAAGCACTTGTAAGATGAACTGCTCACCTCTATAATATAGGTACTTGCTTTAGCATGTATTACATGGAGGTGAAACATGTCGCTCTATGAAAAATTTGTAATTTATCAATTCATTCGGTTTCTAGAGGCTCTAAAAGATTGTTCATTGTGCAGTATTCTTATCATGTCATTGATATTTTTTAACCGACTTTGTCCCCCAAAATTTAGATTTGCTGGAAATTTTTGGCCCCGTGCGCTGATGAATGCTTAAGTTCTTCATCAAAATGTGCTCTTGTTTTCCCCCTCAAGTTTATACATATGCAAATTATTTTGATCACTGCCATTTCTCATAAATTGAATTTGTTGCTCCAAAATACTCCCACTGTCCCAAAAAGTTTGTCACTTTTTTGGGAACAGAGCCTTTTGTGAATAGTAAAGAAAAAGAATAAATAAACTCCTAAACTCGCTAAAATGGCCATTATTGGGCTGCCCAAACCTTGTACAAAGTAAAGCATTTATGCTGCCCAAATTGTGTCTGCCGTCAAGTCAAAGTGTGGACCCCATACATTTAATTAAAGGTACCAACCCACTTATTGTTGTGTGCTGCATGCACAAAACCAGTTGGTGCATACTGTTGACACACTGCCTTAATGCATGCATAATTTTTGATAAATTTTGTTGGACCCACACATATAATTGTAGTACTTTGAGGATAAAAACGGAAGGAGGAGAAAATTTCACTTGCTATTTTTGGTAACATGACATAATTTTGGGATAGATCAAAAAGGAAAGTTTGACACTTTCAATGGGATGGAGGGAGCACGTTTTATTTGTTTAAAAGTTCGGTGCTGGTTATATATGCCTTTACCATTTTCCATTTGATTTTACAAAGTCGTTTGCTTTGCTATTACGTGTAATATGACTTTTGGTTATTTACTTTTCTGTTTTCTTGTGGGCAATAGCTACTGGAAGAGGGAGAAGATGGGAAGAATAGGTCAACTTTAAGGTCAAAATTAGAACTTCCAGTCCAGGTACTTTGAGAACTTTACTCTTCTGTAATGAAATTCTGCTTCTAATTTTTTCTGTTTTTGGGTGATATGCTCATAGGCCTTTTGCTATGATTTTGCGGAATGTTGTCTAATATTATGATTAATAATAAAAATTAGGAAAAAGAATTGTCAGATCTACTTTATGACCGTCTTTCTCTAGAAGCTAATGATTGCAGTTGCAGAGAAGTAGTCTGGTGTAGTTCTAATCCTGTGATTTTTCGATTATATTGGTTATTTCTTCGTTACCGTAATGGTTTTGAACGAGTTGTGTACCACCAGTAGCAAGTCCACATAGATGAGGCCACATCCAGGAGAAGGTTTAAGTAACCCCAAGAGGGGATAAATATTGTGCAAAAATTGTCAAGCTAATTTGGACATGTTCAAGTATGGGATAGTGGAACTCACTATGAGTGCGTCTCATGAAGTTGCAAAACGAATATGGATACTCGTGGATTAAAGGAGGGACTGTTTTGGATCGAGTTAAAAGTGGAACAAGATTATAAATAGGACCCTGAGTAAATGGCTGTCAAGTTTAGTGGATACCTGTCTACAGCTACAATTCTTCCTTTTGGAGTATAATTTAACTGTATTTTGGCCATTTTGATTAATTTCCAAAGAGGGCCTACGAGTCACTGAAAGACTAATTTCCGATCAGAAGCTGCATGCACGTGGAGTATAAGAATTTTAACAACAGTAAAAAGCAGTCCCATGCAGAAGTACTTTCTGCGATGTTTTTTGCAAATGCTTTCCTGATCTTCAACAGAGCTTACAGCACTGTTTCTGGATTTTCAAGTCTTACATTTCATAAATCAGAGGTTTCCTTGCTTTGATGTTGACATACTTTTGCCATATAATGTTAAAACTGGGTATGCATTTGACTGCCTTGCCTGCATATTGACTGCATGCATCATGACATGTAAACTCTCTGTTGTATCTGTATTTCTATATTTCCCTTTTGAATTAACACTGCCTGCTTTTGATCACTTGTCATACTTTGCAGGCAGTGCTAAATCTGCAAGTTCCTGTGGAGCACTCCAAGGAAGTTAGTGATTGTAAGCATCTGATTAAAACATTGGTCATGGGTAATTGCCTTCTCCATTCTTTACACTTCAAATTCAGTTGACTATTTTGAATTATTGAAAATTTGATACCTAATGTATGATTTTTTTATTTTTATTTTTTAAAATGAGTTCCTCTTTGTTTGCTGATTGCTTATTTTGTATTATGGGATTTTGTTGCTATTCCAGGAATGAAGACCATTATTTGGAGCATCACTCATGCACATCTACCCCGATCACAGGTTTTTCACGTCTCTTCCTTTATAATTCATTTCTATCATCGGTTAGTTTTATATCAGGTAACCTTTTGTCGTTTTAGGTTTCACCATCAACACATGGGACATCATCTCAAATTCTTGCTTCTGCAACATCAGGTTCATCAGTACCACAGCCCTTCAAAGGGATGAGAGAAGATGAGGTACCATCCTTATTATGAAGTTTGCCTAGTCATTCTTTTGCTAGGATGTTCTTACTCAATTTTCTACAGGTGTGGAAAGCTTCTGGCGTATTGAAGAGTGGTGTGCATTGCTTGGCTCTGTTCAAGGAGAAGGAAGAGGAAAGGGAAATGATTAATCTCTTTTCCCAAATTCTGGCTATTATGGAACCCCGAGATTTGATGGACATGTTCTCCTTGTGCATGCCTGAGCTGTTTGAGTGCATGATTTCAAATACTCAGCTGGTCCACATCTTTTCAACCCTTCTGCAGTCAGCTAAGGTTTTTCGGCCATTTTCAGATGTTTTGGTGAATTTCCTTGTGACTAGTAAACTTGATGTTCTGAAGCAGCCAGATTCACCTGCAGCAAAACTTGTTTTGCATCTTTTCCGCTTCTTATTTGGTGCTGTTGCAAAGGCCCCTTCGGACTGCGAACGCATTTTACAGCCTCATGTGCCTGTTATAATGGAATCTTGCATGAAAAATGCAACTGAGGTTGAGAAACCAATTGGTTACTTGCAACTTCTTAGAACAATGTTTCATGCACTTGCGGGTGGCAAGTTTGAACTTCTTCTCCGAGACTTGGTTCCTATGCTGCTACCCTGCTTAAATATGCTGTTGGCTATGCTTGAAGGACCTACCGGTGAAGACATGAGGGAACTTCTTCTGGAACTCTGTCTAACTCTGCCTGCAAGGTTAAGCTCATTGTTACCTCATCTGCCTCGCCTTATGAAGCCTCTGGTGATGTGTCTAAAAGGAAGTGATGACCTAGTTAGTCTTGGTTTAAGGACACTTGAGTTCTGGATTGATAGTTTGAATCCTGATTTCTTAGAGCCGAGTATGGCGAATGTTATGTCTGAGGTGATTTTGGCATTATGGTCTCATTTGAGACCAGCACCCTATCCTTGGGGTGGAAAATCATTGCAACTTCTTGGTAAATTGGGTGGTCGTAATAGACGTTTTCTCAAAGAACCTCTTGCACTTGAATGCAAGGAGAATCCAGAGCATGGACTTAGATTAATTCTTACATTTGAACCCTCCACACCTTTTTTGGTTCCACTTGATCGTTGCATAAATCTTGCTGTGGCTGCTGTCATGAACAAAAATGGTGGGGTGGATCCGTTTTACCGAAAGCAGGCTCTAAAGTTTGTCTGTGTATGCTTGTCATCTCAACTTAATTTGCCAGGGATTGTTACTGATGAGGGATCAACATCTAGGCAGTTGTCAACTCTCTTAGTTTCATCTGTTGACCCATCTTGGAGAAGATCTGAGACAGTAGAAATGAAGGTTGGTTGTGTGGTTGATTGTCTGTGTCACAGTACCTTACTGGTTGATTCTATTATTCCACACCTGTTGTACGGACGTTTTTCCCTGTTGCTTTATAGCTTCATTGACTGATTAAATTTTCCTTCTGATACTTGCATGAGTTGTAATACCAATTTTTTTTTTTTTTTGTGGGATTTATTGCTAGCCTTACTTCTCACTATGACTGCTGAGTAGTGGCACTCAGTAATACGTATGCTACAAGACCTTATCCAAGTACTCGCTTACATGTTTACCCATCATGGCACAGCTTTTCATGAGCATATGTAGTCTTCTGGTTATTTTTTGACCTTTCAAATGGTTACAGTTCTAAGCTTGCTGCTTCTCACCACTGCTTCCCTTCTTGTCGTAATTGCAATTTTAGTCTTTTTTAGTCTTTTCTTTTTATCGCTGTTTGTGTTATTATAGGAGTGGTGAAAATTAGGATGAACTTTTTTTGGTTAATCAGTTTACTTTCAAACATGCAAAGTAGTGAAAGCTATCATAATTTTGCAGTTTTTATCTTTAACACAAGTCTCCTGATGATATTTTGTACTTTTTACGCAGTTCCCGACTGATTTCCATTTTTAAAATGGATTTGTTCTCATCTTAGTAAAATAAGTGCTTCTTTGTTTCAATGACCAATGAGAATTAATCCAAAAATGAAGCTTGATGTGTTTTACTTGCCTTGAATTTGTGCTTTCATAAATTTTGTTGCTGAGTGGTTCTGAACATTTTACGGCAATAATCTCTGCTACATTCCAATCTATTTATGTAGGCTGACTTGGGTGTCAAGACGAAGACCCAACTCATGGCCGAGAAATCTGTCTTTAAGATTCTCTTGATGACCATCATTGCTGCAAATGCTGAACCTGATTTGCATAATGCTAATGATGACTTTGTTCTCCATGTTTGCCGACATTTTGCCATGATATTCCACATAGACAATTCTCTGACACATACATCAATTGGTGCCTCTTCACTTGGTGGTCCTCTTCTTGCTCCCAGCTCCAGTATTAGTTCAAAATCAAGAAATACTGGACCTTCTAACCTGAAAGAGTTGGACCCATTAATATTCTTGGATGCTTTGGTAGATGTACTGGCAGATGAAAATAGACTACATGCTAAAGCAGCTCTAGATGCTCTGAACATATTTGCTGAGACACTTCTGTTTCTTGCTCGCTCAAAGCATTCAGAGATTTTAATTTCAAGAGGTGGTCCTGGCACCCCTATGGTTGTTTCTAGTCCATCAATGAGTCCTGTGTATTCACCACCTCCAAGTGTACGTGTTCCAGTTTTTGAGCAACTCCTGCCACGGCTTTTACATTGTTGCTATGGCAGTACTTGGCAATCACAAATTGGAGGAGTTATTGGCCTTGGTGCCATGGTTGGGAAGGTTACTGTTGAAATTTTATGCCATTTTCAAGTACGGATTGTTCGGGGGCTAGTATATGTTCTCAAAAGGCTTCCTATCTATGCATCAAAAGAGCAGGAAGAAACCAATCAGGTGCTAACCCAAATTCTTCGCGTGGTGAATAATGTTGATGAGGCAAACAGTGAAGCACGCAAACAAAGTTTCCAAGGAGTTGTTGAATACCTAGCATCTGAGCTGTTCAATGCAAACTCATCCATTAATGTAAGAAAGATCGTGCAGTCTTGTTTGGCACTTCTGGCAAGTAGGACAGGCAGTGAGGTTTCTGAGTTACTTGAACCTTTGTACCAACCTTTGCTTCAGCCTCTTATCTTGCGCCCTCTTCGGTCAAAAACTGTTGACCAACAAGTAAGTTCTTGTTGTGTTTGTTTTCTTGCATTTGTTGTTTGTTGTTCATTACAGAAGAAACAACATAAGATTTATTTTGTGGTCTGTTTTATACAATTCCTAGGTTGGGACGGTCACAGCTTTGAATTTCTGCCTAGCTTTGAGGCCTCCTCTGCTTAAGTTGACTCAGGAGCTAGTCAATTTCCTGCAAGAGGCTTTGCAAATTGCTGAAGCTGATGAAACTGTGTGGGTTGTGAAATTTATGAACCCAAAGGTGGCCTCATCATTGAATAAGCTACGGACGGCTTGCATTGAACTGCTGTGTACTGCTATGGCGTGGACAGATTTTAAAACACAGAATCATTCTGAATTGCGTGCAAAAATCATTTCTATGTTTTTCAAATCTCTAACAAGTCGGACACCTGAAATTGTAGCTGTTGCAAAGGAAGGTCTAAGACAGGTCTGTTGAATTTCTTTTCCGTTTGTTGTCTTCACTTTTTCTTCTGGGCTGTACTCTATAATTCAGACACATAGCATTATTACCCCAGACCTGACCTAGATCTAAGTCTCTTGTCTGATTCTGTCTTTTGAGGCTTTAGACCCTAGCTCAGCAGGGCACCTGTGTTAAGGGGTCTGGAATTTCTTTGAAAAACATTTTCCTATGTCTAGTATTATGAAACATTTCTGTGTCACCACCTGTACTTGCAATTTTCTGTTCTTTTCCTAGATTCACAAATTCAATTACTGTCAATCCACATGGTTTGGACTTTCCCCGTTGAAGTTTTAAATTTTTTCAAAATTTGAGGTCTTGCCTTTATAATCTCCCGGCATAATTTCTACTTTCCAGAAATAGAAACTCTAAACACAAATAGTTGCCTAGCTTTAAGAATTGTGGATTCACATCTTCTCCACTTGCTTTTCAAATTCAATTAACCATTTATGAGTGGTTTCCTGTAATTTTATTTTCTCTTTAAGTTGATTATTATTTACTCTTTATTAAACCCTGTGACCAGCAAATTAGGTCATTTAGTTTTAATCTGGGCTGAAAGCAGGGTATATTTTTCAATTAATTTTTATTCATGCCAAACCAAATCCAGACATACATTTTGAAGGGAAATTCTATATTTTGATGTGTGTTTGTTATTTTAATTTTTTTTATTATTTCAATGGGTGATGGTGATATGTGACTTGACTAAATTGTGTTTCTTTGATTTCTAAAAGTATGTTAGCATAATTTTGTCAATAGTTTTCCTCAAAGCTCAGGTGTCTTAAATTTTCTTTTAGCCCTCATTGAGCTTTAAAGTTGCTCCTGACTGCATATGATGCATTCTGATCAATTGTTATTGAATTCCTTATTCCATAGCATTAGTGGTTAATAGTTGCATTGAAATCTGTTTGACTATTGCGCGTCTGCCTGCAGTGCCTTAAAGCACTAAGACTAGGAATCTCTTGCCTACACATCTCCACCTGCACATTTTTCTGATGAAAGATGTTGTGATTTGCACATATTTACTAGTTTATGCTGAGTTAGGTTTTATTTTTACATCCCTAGTAGTTAATGATGCTACACAAGCGCATGCATGTTACAATGCCTAATCGTCATGCTTAATAGGGTTGGTTCTTAAATAAACTCTGCTATTTGATGTCATAAAAGTTACCATCCAGCAATTTAATAGTTGTTAATAACCTTTTGTAGGTTATACTTCAGCAAAGAATGCCTAAAGAACTTCTGCAAAGCAGCCTGAGGCCTATCTTAGTTAATTTGGCACATACAAAAAATTTGAGCATGCCTCTTCTGCAAGGGCTGGCCCGTCTGCTTGAGCTTTTGTCCAACTGGTTCAATGTAACTTTAGGCGGTAAATTGTTGGAGCATCTGAAAAAATGGTTAGAACCTGAAAAGCTTGCGCAGACTCAGAAGTCTTGGAAGGCTGGTGAAGAACCTAAAATTGCTGCTGGCAAGTCATATAGCCTGGAATTCCTTTTATCGGTGTCTGATTCATTAAGCGCATGTTAGCATATACTGTTGTTTGTCTAGATGAACTTATATTTTTTTCGTTTTGTTGGTGAATTTTCTTGCAGCAATTATTGAGCTTTTCCACCTGCTTCCTTCAGCTGCTGGGAAATTCCTTGATGAGCTTGTAACTTTGACTATTGATTTGGAAGGTGCCCTTCCACCAGGGCAGTTCTATAGCGAGATTAACAGTCCTTATCGCCTTCCTCTCACTAAGTTTCTAAATCGATACCCAGCTGCAGCTGTTGATTATTTTCTTTCTCGGTTATGTCAACCCAAATACTTCCGCAGGTAATATTTGTTTTGCAGATCAAGAATTCTTGGTGTACTTTTAGGTTATACCGCTGATTGCTTTTTATTCTATAATTTGTGCCTTTTAGGTTTATGTATATCATACGGTCGGATGCTGGCCAACCCTTGAGAGAAGAACTTGCTAAGTCACCTGAAAAGATAATAGCAAGTGCATTTCCTGAATTTTTACCCAAATCTGATGCATCAACAGCCCAGGGATCTTTTAACCATCCCACCACTGTGGGGAGCGACGAATCACTTGGCTATAAACCTGAGAGTTTAATTCCGATTTCTACCAGCACTAGTGGATTGGCAGATGCTTATTTCCAGGGTCTTGCTTTGATCAAGACTTTGGTTAAACTGATGCCTAGCTGGTTGCAGAGTAATCGGGTTGTTTTCGACACATTAGTTCTTCTGTGGAAGTCACCAGCAAGAATTTCACGGTTACAAAACGAGCAGGAGTTGAATTTGGTGCAAGTAAGTTTACTGCTAATCTGAAAGTTCATAGCCTAAAATTTCTTGCCTAAAATGAAAATGAGCAGAATTTCAGATATCTGTTTCATGGTTGGAAAGTTATCTGTCTTGATTTTGACATGACCAGGATAACCATACTTTATGATTGATGTATCTGTTGGTGCTGCCAGTGACAAATCATTTATATGATGTCTGATGTGTTGATTTGTAGTGTTCTTATGTTGTTGTAGTCATGGTTTTTTCCTGCCTCCTTGCAATGTTTATTTTTTCCTGGGGTTAGGTTAAGTGTACCTCTTTGCTATCACTTATACTTCTCATATCATTTTTGTTCTGTCACTAGTTTTCAATCTACATCATACCTAGGGTCTCTTTTTCCTTACGTGTGGGGAGAGGGTTGATTTAATGGTCGAGGAAGAATCTTGGCCTCTCTAATCTCTATTGTGAAGTCAAAAGGAGAAAAAGCAGGTAAAAAGGTTTCAGATAATTATGATGCCATGAACACTTAAGGCTTCTCCGACCTTTTCTTGTGGGATTGGTTGCTTTGCTTGAACTTAAACTTTATGCTGTGTCATGCACCATCAGCCCAGCATTTGAATGGACATATCTGTGTGCGATTATCAGATTTGTAAGTTGTTGAATGTTCTTCCTGTCTTTTTTGAATGTACATATCTACGGCTTCAAGTTTGAAAGGTGCAATTGTTTTCTGATGTTGGTGGGCTAATTGTTGTGCCTTTCAACTCTCCTGACTTGGAGGTCTTTATGATACAACTGTCTTGTGCTTGTATGACAAGATTTTTCCAAATCTGTGGCCAAGTTTTTATTAATTGGCAATAGCTGCAGTTCACCTAAATGGTTTTAATCCCTCCCTAACTAGTCAACCTCGACAAATTTGGAATTCAGGGAAGGTAAATGGGTGTAGTTGCGGAAGGATTAATAAATGTCTGTCACTTCCTCTCTCTCTCTCTCTCTCTCTCTATATATATATATATAACACAAGCACAACGCTTTTTTTTTTTTTTGCGGAGAGGAGGTGTAATGCCATCATGGACAGAGCTACCAATGATATGATTTATCCTTTGCCTACTGAGTTCTTATGTTTTGCATTGGATGATGTCATCATGAACTGCCAACTGCTCCTTGAATCCTCTCTCTCTTTGGTGGATGAGAAGGTAAAGATGTGTTATTTTGTGGTGAACTTGCTAACTCATTTTCGCACGGTTTTGTTGCATACAGGTTAAAGAAAGCAAATGGCTGGTCAAGTGCTTCCTGAATTACTTCAGACATGACAAAAACGAAGTCAATGTTTTGTTTGACATTCTTTCCATTTTTCTTTTCCGTACTCGAATAGACTTCACCTTCCTGAAGGAGTTTTATATAATTGAGGTATGTTAAAATTGCTGTCATGTTTATATTTTTTAGCATAATGTTTTACAATTTTAATTCTTAGTGTGCTCTGTTTAAATACAAAGTAGCAATCTGTGGTTTAGGTTGCCGAGGGTTATTCTCCAAACTTGAAGAAAACTCTGCTCCTGCATTTCCTAAATCTTTTCCAATCAAAGCAACTAGCTCTTGATCATTTGGTGATTGTCATGCAAATGCTCATTCTTCCAATGTTAGCCCATGCCTTCCAGAATGGCCAGACCTGGGATGTTGTTGACACTACTATTGTTAAGACAATAGTAGACAAGCTTCTTGACCCTCCAGAAGAGGTAATCCTTTAATGCAGTGCTGCCTCAGTGCTTCACCACATTTTCGTTCTCTTCGTAGTTAATTTCTGTGTCTTCTGTAGGTTTCTGCTGATTATGACGAGCCCTTGAGGATAGAGCTTCTGCAGCTCGCCACTTTACTTCTCAAGTATCTCCAGACTGACCTTGTTCATCACAGAAAGGAGCTTATCAAATTTGGGTGGAATCACCTCAAGCGTGAGGATAGTGCTAGTAAGCAGTGGGCCTTTGTCAATGTCTGCCACTTCTTGGAAGCGTATCAAGCGCCCGAGAAAATCATACTGCAGGTAGCTTTATAACCAAATTGCCATGATGTCAAGATCATTACAGCAGAATACTGTCTTACTATTGACTACTTAATGTCATCTGACTGGCATGGCTAGTTTATAGTTTGCTTGATGATAGTGGTTTTGCAACTGGTGGCATTATCTAAGACACAAATTAAATCTCTTTCTCTAAATATGTAGACACTATAATATTGAGAATAATATAAAACGATGGCAAATATGATAAGCATAATATCTTCAAGGTGATCCTACTAACTTGAATAGTGTTTTTTAAACTCTCTATGCTTAATCGGTATGGCCTAAACTGGGTTTTGTTTTGGTTTTTCTTTTCCTTTTCTGCTGGGAGTTCTAGATAGGAGGGAACAAAGCAGACTTCTGGAGAGCTTTTCTGTTCACACATACCCTTCTAATAACGTCAGATATTTGTAATCTATGAGCATTTCTCTCTCTTTCTTGGCTTTTTCTGTTTCATCTTCTTCTTCGTTTTTTTTTTTAATTAACTGCATTTGAGTATCAATCTGTACATGATCTCTAATTGCTTTCTCCAATGCCTTCATGTTCAAAGCTTGCTATTAAGTTGTTAATCGTGTTCTAGGCGTTTCTTCTTTTCTAATTTTAGGATTAAATGGGGGTGCCTTATTTTTTCTTACATGAGAACATGATGCAGTCCTTTTAGCTGAAATTGGTAGTGAAAGATGGGGTGACCTTAGGTTTGTCACTGGCGTGAGGATTCCAGTCAGAGTGATGATTTCTTTTTCCTGATGTGGATCTAGCATATTAGATCGCTGTCCTTGTTATTTTCAAGTGGTGCTTTGAATTCTCACTGTGGCCTTTTCAAACACACATTGTTTTGCGAGATAGTAAGTTTCATGGATATATGTATATTTTTTGAGAACGATTATCATGAATACCGCTCAGTATATTTTGGGGAATGCTTGAATTAATAATTTGGGCTTTGTTTGGATTAGCAGTTTTTGGGGGTGTTTTTGAAAAAATTTACTATAGCAATGCATATGAAAAACTTTAATATAGATGTTGTGGTGTATTTGGAGGTGTTTTTGGGGGATATTCTGGGATATATTTTGGGTATTTTTATAGTTTAAAACTTTTTTGGGTACTTTTTAAAAAAACTCACCACCATCACCCACTGCCACTACCAGCCTCTCTCTCCTCCCCTTCTTCCTCCTTCCTCATCCCCTCCCCTTCCTCCCCCCCCCCAACCCCAACCTCCCTCCCCTCCAGAAGCTGCAACCTTCCAGTAGTGACCAGAAGCTGTGACCTAATGGCAAACAGAGGGCGTGGCCAGATCTGGGTGCGGCCTTCCAGTCGCGACCAGAAGGCCGCAATGGGGAGGGCCGGAGGGGAGATCTAGGGTGGTGGGGGAGGGAGGAATGGGAGGGGAGGAGGGAGAAAAAGAAGGTGAGGAAGAGGGAGGAAGAATGAGAGGGGGGGGGGAGAGAGGAAGAGGAAGGAGGAGGGGGAGGAGAGGGTGGTGGTGGGTGGGTGGGTGGTTTTTTTATTTGTTGTTTATTTTTTTTGATTAGTTGTATTTGAAATGTGCATGGATAGTTGTTTTTGGGAGTCTATTACTGTGGCATTGTATATGAAAAACTTGTTTTTGAAGAAACTTGTGTATGTAAAGCTTGGTTTTGCATTGGAAATAACAAGCTGAACACAATTTCAGGTATTTGTAGCACTTCTGAGGACCTGCCAGCCAGAGAATAAGATGTTGGTAAAACAAGCACTTGATATACTAATGCCAGCACTTCCTCGAAGATTACCGCTTGGTGACTCTCGTATGCCAATTTGGATACGTTATACAAAGAAGATTCTTGTTGAGGAAGGTCACTCAATTCCTAACCTCATACATATATTCCAGCTGATTGTACGCCATTCAGATCTGTTCTACAGCTGCAGAGCGCAATTCGTGCCTCAGATGGTAAATTCTTTAAGTCGCCTTGGTTTGCCATATAATACTTCGGCTGAGAACAGGCGTCTTGCCATTGAACTTGCTGGATTGGTTGTCAATTGGGAAAAACAAAGGCAAAGTGAAATGAAAACTGCTGCGGCTTCAGGTGGTGGTCAGAATAATGATGTATTCAACCAAATTACTGCTAGTGGTGATCCAGCAACTGCCATTGATGGATCAACTTTCTCTGAAGATCCAACTAAGCGAATAAAGGTTGAACCGGGTCTGCAATCGCTTGGTGTCATGTCACCTGGTGGTGTCTCTTCTATCCCTAACATAGAAACCCCAGGGTCTTCTGGACAGCCAGATGAAGAATTCAAGCCAAATGCAGCAATGGAGGAAATGATCATCAATTTTCTAATAAGAGTATGGCTCTTTTTCAGTTTAGTGTTTTTCAGTTATTATTTTCTAGGTTAGTGTTCACAACAGAACTTGGATGCTATCTGATAAATTTTAGCTTTTTCATCCATTTTCAGTTTGAAGAATATGATTAACAATCCCAAGGTTTATTCACATTTATTAATAGATAATCACCTGGCTCACAAAATACTAGTATTTCCTTGATTTTTGACATTAACTGCATTTTTTTCCTGCTTATCTGTCCTCCTTTGAGCTGCATATCTTGTTATCCAACTAAGGGTATAGTAGATATCAGATGTACCTTGTTTTGCTGGAAGATGTTTCTAGTGCCTTTAGTATTGAAGCTGAAATTTCATGGTTTCCTTGTATCCATCATATCTGAATTGCTCATTTCTGGCTTTATTCCGCATGGATTGTAAATTTGTACCACCTACTAAGTATTTATGTTTGAGCTGCCCACATTGGTTTACATGTGCAACATCTATGTAATTTCTGGTCTTAATTTTTTACTTTAATGCCCTTGTACTACTCGAAAGTTTTTCTGTGGTCCTAACTAGCAGTGCAACATCTATGTAATTTCTGGTCTTAATTTTTTACTTTAATGCCCTTGTACTACTCGAAAGTTTTTCTGTGGTCCTAACTAGCATACGTGATTATTTATTGATTACTTCTAGTTATGAGCACTTTGGGTTGATAAATAATATCGTGGGGTTGTTGTCATCAGGTCGCATTGGTGATAGAACCAAAGGAAAAAGAAGCAAGTCTCATGTACAAACAAGCTTTAGAGCTGCTATCACAAGCATTGGAGGTGTGGCCAAATGCAAATGTTAAATTCAATTATTTGGAGAAGTTGCTAAGTAGTATTCCACCTTCGCAATCAAAGGATCCATCCACAGCTCTTGCCCAGGGCCTTGATGTGATGAATAAGGTTTTGGAAAAGCAACCACATTTGTTCATCCGAAATAATATCAACCAGATTTCCCAAGTATGTGCCTTGGCCTAAATTCTTTTTCCAGTTGCATGTCCTCTATCAAGTGTCATTTATATTTACTATTTATTGGCACATTTTCTCTGGCAGATATTAGAACCATGTTTCAGGTATAAGATGCTAGATGCTGGGAAATCATTGTGCTCTCTTTTGAAGATGGTTTCCTCTGCATTTCCTCCAGAGATGGCCAGTACTCCGCAGGATGTTAAGATGCTGTATCAAAAGGTGGAAGAGCTTGTACAAAAGCACCTTGCTGCAATTGCGGCTCCTCAAACATCAGGAGAAGACATCTCAGCTAGCATGATTAGCTTTGTCCTCTATATCATTAAAACTTTAACAGAAGTGCAGAAAAACTTTATTGACCCTTCGAATTTGGTTCGTGTACTTCAGCGCCTGGCACGCGATATGGCAGCGGCAACTGGTTCTTATGTAAGACAGGTACAGCCCTGCTTAATGATTTATATTTACCTTGTCTGTTCGGTTATCTGTTTTGCCTACCTACATTGTCTGTTTTAGTTACTCTGAATCCATGAACCGAAACATTTTGCCATCATCTGATAAGCTGAGGCTGTCAAAGCCATGGCCCCTTTAAAATACACCCAAAAAAAAAAAAGAAGAATACGTGTTCTAGTGCATAAAAAACACAGAGAAAGAAGGTCAAGCATCAAAGCTTCTTAGGTGAGTTGGACTAGTGGAACAGATAAGGGAGATTGTTGACTGGTGTTGGGTGAAAAAATCCTGTGGAAAGAAAGAAGGAACAGGCTATCAGTAGGCTAAGGTTTTCTTTTCGCACTTTGTCTTATCTCAGTAACTCCATGCTTTGCTGGAGCTGCATTGGTGCTTTTCCAGTTCTATTCTATTTGTTGGTGTTTTTGTTGGGCTGGAAAAGTTGGTTTTTCTAAGAAGTAGATAAATTTTCGCAAGTAAAAGAGAGACATTGCTCTGTCTGCGTCTCTCTGGGAATTGGTGTCAGCCTTCTAACACTAAAAAGGGATTATATCTATGTTCTTGTTCTAAGAGATTGCGCAGGAATTGTAGAATTCATGCGGCATTAAAGACTGGTGAACTTTTGTTCATCCTAATTGTTCAAAATGTGCTGGTTTTCAAAGTCACTTATTCGGAATGTTGGTTCTAAAGAAATTTAAAATTTCAAAGGAGGCAATTAATTTGACAAAATTCAGATCAGCCTTACTTATTATTCTATGTCAGGGATTTTCAATTGTCCTCTAAAATAGTAATTTGGAGCATATCTCCAGTTTATGCTGTAAGATTCTTTGGACATTCCTGTCTGATTTCCAGGGTCAGAAAGCAGATGCAGATTCTGCGGTCACTTCTTCTCGCCAAGGTGCTGATGTTGGAGTAGTTATTGCTAATCTGACTTCTGTCCTCAAACTGATAAGCGAAAGGGTCATGCTTATTCCAGAATGCAAGCGTTCTGTAACTCAAATTCTGAACTCCTTGCTCTCTGAAAAGGGGACCGATCCTTCTGTGCTTCTCTGCATATTGGATGTAATAAAAGGATGGATAGAAGATGATTTTAACAAACCTGGAATGCCAACCACGTCATGTAATTTCCTTACTGCTAAGGAAGTGGTTACTTTCCTTCAGAAGCTTTCACAGGTTGACAAGCAGAACTTTTCAGTCACTGCTGTAGAGGAATGGGACAAGAAATATCTTGACCTTCTTTACGGACTTTGTGCAGACTCCAATAAGTAAGTAAATCCTTATTTATTTATTTGTTGTTGTTCTCGTAAGGTATGTGGACAATCATACTATCAATCTTGACTTTCAGATACTCTCTTTCACTAAGACAAGAAGTGTTTCAGAAAGTGGAGAGGCAATTTTTGCTTGGTTTACGTGCAAAAGATCCTGAAATGAGAATGAAGTTCTTCTCTCTTTATCATGAATCTCTTGGGAAAACATTGTTTGTGAGACTACAATACATTATCCAAAATCAGGACTGGGAGGCATTATGTGATGTCTTCTGGCTCAAACAAGGTCTAGATCTTCTTTTGGCCATTTTGGTTGAGGATAAACCTATTACACTGGCTCCAAACTCTGCCAAAATCCCCCCACTTATGATGTCAAGTGCTGTTCCGGATTGTAGTGCGGTACAACCAATGGTTACTGATATCCCAGAAGGTTCAGATGAGGCATCTCTAACATTTGATGGCCTTGTCCTAAAGCAATCACGGTTCCTAAGTCAAATGAGCAAGCTTCAGGTATTTATGTTTGTCTCCTTTCCTTGTGAGATGGCCTTCCAACAGGCGGTTGTCTTCTTTAACATTATATCAAGCACTCATCTTGCAGAAATCTTCATCCGCACAATTGTTTAGTCTAACTTGTTTGATCCAAGCAGGTATAAATTGGAGAAATTGTGTTCTGTTGAAGACTATGGCCAGAGTTAATCATCATATTATGTAACTTAAGGCATGTTTAGGGTTTTCTACTTAATATGTGATAAAGGAATGGTGTTTTCATTTGATGATCTAGTTTGTTACAGTTGAGACAAAAACCTTGGTTAGGTGGTATTGTATTGACTACTGATTCCTCTGTGAGAATTTATCTCTGCTTGTGTCAACATTTTTCTGTCTCCAAAATTCTGTTGTCATTTTGCTTTGTAGCAGCTGTCTTCATTCTTGAGTTATATACATTGATACCACTAGCAGCTAGGCATAAAGTTTTCCTTTACCACATTTTTCTCATTTTACTCCTTTTTTGTAGGTTGCAGATCTTATTATTCCTCTCAGAGAGTTGGCTCATACAGATGCCAATGTTGCATATCATCTGTGGGTGTTAGTATTTCCTATTGTCTGGGTTACGTTGCAAAAGGATGAACAGGTAGCTCTTGCTAAGCCAATGATAAATCTCTTGTCAAAAGATTATCATAAAAAACAGCAGGGGCACAGGCCAAATGTTGTGCAAGCTCTTTTAGAAGGCCTTCAGCTGAGCCATCCTCAACCTCGTATGCCTAGCGAACTCATTAAATATATTGGGAAAACTTACAATGCTTGGCATATTGCACTTGCACTGCTGGAAAGTCATGTAATGTTGTTCTTGAATGACACAAAGTGCTCTGAGTCTCTGGCTGAGCTCTATCGTTTACTCAATGAGGAAGATATGAGGTGCGGATTGTGGAAAAAGCGGTCGGTTACAGCAGAAACTAGGTCTGGGCTTTCGCTTGTACAGCATGGTTACTGGCAGCGGGCCCAAAGTCTCTTCTATCAGGCAATGGTCAAGGCAACTCAAGGTACTTACAACAACACAGTGCCTAAAGCTGAGATGTGTCTTTGGGAAGAGCAGTGGCTGTGTTGTGCTAGTCAACTCAGTCAATGGGATGTGCTGGTAGAGTTTGGCAAACTAATTGAGAATTATGAGATATTGCTTGATAATCTCTGGAAGCAGCCTGATTGGACTTATTTAAAAGATAGTGTTTTTCCAAAAGCTCAGGTAGAAGAAACTCCCAAACTTCGTATAATCCAGGCTTACTTTGCTCTTCACGAGAAGAACACAAATGGTGTAGCAGAAGCTGAAAATATTGTGGGCAAGGGTGTTGATCTTGCTTTGGAACAATGGTGGCAATTACCTGAGATGTCTATTCATGCAAGAATTCCTCTATTGCAGCAATTTCAGCAACTAGTCGAAGTTCAAGAATCAGCAAGGATAATCGTAGACATTGCCAATGGAAACAAGCTTTCCGGGAATTCTGTTGGTGTACATGGTGGCTTATATGCAGATTTGAAGGATATTCTAGAGACCTGGAGGCTTAGAACACCAGATGAGTGGGATAATATGTCTGTCTGGTACGATCTCCTTCAATGGAGGAACGAAATGTACAATGCAGTGATTGATGCATTTAAGGATTTGAGCTCCACAAACTCACAGCTGCATCACCTTGGTTACCGTGACAAGGCTTGGAATGTCAATAAGCTTGCCCACATGGCCCGTAAACAGGGGCTGCATGATGTTTGTGTATCCATACTGGAGAAAATGTATGGACACTCCACCATGGAAGTTCAGGTAGTATAAATCTTCACAGGATATAGTTTTGTTTAGCAAATTTTTGTCTCTATGCTTTTATGTTCCTGGAGATGGCATTTAGAAATACTATAGTGTAGTTCTTTTACACTGGTTTCTTAATTTTATGCATGCAGGAGGCCTTAAAATTTACGTGCTGTCTCACTGGTTTCTCAATTTTATGCTTGCAGGAGGCCTTTGTGAAAATTAGGGAACAAGCCAAGGCTTTTTTAGAAATGAAGGGAGAGCTTACTAGTGGGCTTAATTTGATCAACAGCACTAATCTGGAATATTTTCCAGTTAAGCATAAAGCTGAAATATTTCGTATTAAGGGAGATTTTTTGTTGAAACTGAATGATTGCGAAGGTGCTAATGTTGCATATTCACATGCCATAAGCCTTTTCAAGAACTTGCCAAAAGGGTGGATTAGTTGGGGAAATTATTGTGACATGGTACGCATCTCCTTGATTGATTCATAAATCTGATTCTGGTTCATATCTATACTAGTTGAATCTTTAGTTGCTGATGCTGTGAATTTCTCAGGCTTACAGAGAAACACATGAAGAGATGTGGCTGGAATATGCTGTGAGCTGCTTTCTTCAAGGCATAAAATTTGGAATTCCTAATTCTAGAAGCCATCTAGCTCGTGTTTTATATCTTCTCAGTTTTGACACTCCCAATGAACCTGTGGGAAGAGCATTAGACAAGTACTTGGAGCAAATACCTCACTGGGTGTGGCTTTCTTGGATTCCACAACTGTTACTTTCCTTGCAAAGAACTGAAGCTCCACACTGCAAACTTGTTTTGCTAAAAGTTGCCACTGTCTTTCCTCAGGTAAATATTAGGTTGATTTTGGATAGGTAAGTGATTCTTATTTTCCTCAACAATATTTTGACTGGCTTTAAATGTTAGGCTTTGTATTACTGGCTGCGCACATATCTGCTTGAGCGTCGTGATGTCGCAAACAAATCTGAATATGGTAGAATAACTATGGCTCAGCAAAGAATGCAGCAAAATGCATCTGGTCCTGGTACATCTGGTTCAATTGGCTTGGTTGATGGAAATGCAAGAGTGGCTGGTCAGGGTGGAGGTCAGTTGGCATCTGATAATCAGCTTCATCAGGTAAATCAGTCTGGTGGAGGTGTTGGATCTCATGAAGGAAGTAACACTCAGGTGCAAGAACCTGAAAGGTCAGCAGCTGTTGAAGGGAACATGCCTGGGACTGACCAATCATTACATCAGAGTTCATCATCAAATGATGCTGGTCAGAATGCATTAAGGCGTAATGGTGCTTTGAGTTTGGTTGCTTCTGCTGCGAGTGCTTTCGATGCTGCAAAAGACATAATGGAGACCCTGCGGAGTAAACACACTAATCTGGCTAGTGAACTTGAGGTACTTATTTTGACCTTTCCTGTTAGACGTTCATTTCTTTAATCATCTTTTGGCTTTTTCTTTTTTCTTTTTTGAGAAATATGCAGGTTTCTCTGCTGTTGTCTCTCTTTAGTGAATTTACCATAAAATAGAAAAGGCTGTTGATCTTGTAATATTTTCCTTGCAGATTTTGCTCACAGAAATTGGTTCACGGTTTGTTACCTTGCCTGAAGAAAGACTACTGGCAGTCGTTAATGCTCTCCTTCACCGTTGTTACAAGTATCCTACTGCTACTACTGCTGAAGTTCCACAATCTCTTAAGAAGGAGCTTTCTGGTGTTTGCCGAGCCTGCTTTTCAGCAGACGCTGTAAACAAGCATGTAGAATTTGTGAGAGAGTACAAGCAGGAGTTTGAACGTGATCTTGATCCAGAAAGTACGGCAACATTTCCTGCCACCCTTTCTGAATTGACTGAACGACTGAAACACTGGAAAAATATCCTCCAGAGCAATGTTGAGGATCGATTTCCGGCTGTTTTGAAGCTGGAGGACGAGAGCAGGGTGTTAAGGGACTTTCATGTAGTTGATGTGGAAGTTCCAGGGCAGTATTTTACTGATCAGGTATGAACCTGCATACATGGCACGTGGAATGGTTGTTTTACACAACCTACAGCAGTGTATTCTAGTTTTGAACTGCTAGCTGTTATCTGAAGAAGAGACTTATGCTTCTATTCTTTTATATGTTAGCTCTGTCAAATTTAGCTTCATGTTGCTCTTTTTGAGGAAGTCATATTTGAAGTTTAATGAGGGAGAAGCTTATACTTGTATGATTTGTTGATTACCTTCTCTCTCACTCTCTCTCGCTCTCTCTCTCTCATAGGAGGTGGCACCTGATCATACAGTAAAGCTAGACAGAGTGGGAGCAGATATTCCAATTGTGAGAAGGCATGGCAGCAGTTTCCGGAGGTTGACTCTTATAGGTTCTGATGGCTCTCAGCGTCATTTTATTGTTCAGACATCATTGACTCCTAATGCTAGAAGTGATGAACGTATCTTGCAACTTTTCCGTGTTATGAACCGAATGTTTGATAAGCACAAGGAGTCGAGACGTCGCCACATATGCATTCACACACCTATAATAATACCTGTGTGGTCACAGGTGATGATCTTTGATGAAATTTCTGTTGTTGATTCTCTTTCTCTTGCTGTTACTTCAATAGCACATGGTATTTTAATTGAAAATCAGAATTGATTATTTTGACCTGATTGTAGTTCTTTTAGCTTTAAAATAATAACATCTCTCATTTTCTGATGTAGGTCCGAATGGTGGAAGATGATTTGATGTACAGCACCTTCCTTGAGGTATATGAGAACTATTGTGCAAGGAATGACAGAGAGGCAGACCACCCTATTACCTACTTCAAAGAGCAACTGAACCAAGCTATATCTGGCCAGATATCAGCGGAAGCTGTAGTTGATCTTCGCCTTCAAGCTTATAATGATATTACAAAAACTCATGTTCCTGATAGCATATTCTCGCAGTATATGTACAAGACTTTATTGAACGGAAACCACTTGTGGGCTTTCAAAAAGCAATTTGCTATCCAGTTGGCTCTTTCAAGCTTCATGTCTTTCATGCTTCAAATTGGGGGAAGGTCTCCCAACAAGATATTGTTTGCTAAGAACACTGGGAAAATATTCCAGACTGATTTTCACCCAGCATATGATGCAAATGGTATGATTGAGTTCAATGAACCAGTACCCTTCCGCTTGACAAGGAACTTGCAAGCATTCTTCTCCCATTTTGGCGTGGAAGGCCTTATTGTCTCTGCCATGTCTGCAGCTGCACAAGCTGTCATCTCACCGAAAGTGAGTTTTTCAATCTAAAGTTATTTTAGTTTCAGTTGAAAACTCAATATATTTTTGAGTGCTGATTATATGTTGTCTGGAGTATTTTTTGCAGCAAAGTCAGCACTTGTGGCATCATCTTGCAATGTTTTTCCGTGACGAACTGTTATCTTGGTCTTGGAGAAAACCGCTGGGGATGCATTTAGGTCCGATGGTTGGTGGAGGTGGTCTGAACCCTGTTGACTTGAAACAGAAAATTATCACGAATGTTGAGAATGTGATTGGCCGGATCAATGGAATAGCCCCACAGTACGTCTCTGAAGAGGTATGCTTTTTCCTGCTCATGCTGTGTCCCCTGCTGTTGCTATCTCATGCAGCCCGCTTTTGACGTGTATTTGATGCTATTTTATCTAAATACATGTAGCTTTCCCCCTCAATCCCTGGGTCAGAATTCATAATTGGGCTAATAAAAATGATCTTCATTTTCAACTGCTATTGTGACTGTCTTCATACGACTAATTTGGGGCTCTCTCTTATTTATCACAATTAATTAAAAAAGAAAAAGTACTGGAGCCGTCTCTTGCCAACATTATTTTTAACAGTGTACAACAGTTTTGAGTGAATGAAGTGATGCCTGCTTTTTTGTTCCAAAGTCTCTTTGGGCACATGCCAATTTTTTCCATTGACTTGGCCATGAGATTGACCTGGTTGTGTTTTAAATGTTATTCCGTTAGGAGGAGAATGGTGTAGATCCTCCACAATCAGTCCAGAGAGGTGTGGCTGAGTTAGTTGAAGCTGCCTTGACACCAAGGAATCTGTGCATGATGGATCCAACATGGCATCCTTGGTTCTGAGTAGTTGAAGATTTGTAAATTTAGCTGTCTTATGTACATGGAGGAAGCTTGATGTAGTGTAGCTTCTCGAGATTATCATGTAAATATTGCTAGCAACTCACAGTATATGGTGATTATCGTGCAGAATAGCATTATATATTTTTTGCTAGACTCTATATTGGAAATAACGGTTATCTTTTGGGGAATAGCATTATATGTTTATTTAGCTCAACTCTCTTTGGATATATTCTTTCCAGCCCATTTTATTAATCTTGATTTCTATTTTAGTTTGTGCCAAATTTATTTATCATGGTCTTAAAAGGAAAATGAAAAAAGACTTAAACAGCTAGCAATGAAAGTAACATTTCACTTATTGAAGGCCGATTCTGGCCGTACTGGTAATCAATCCTCCTACTTTTTGTCAAAACTTCATTTCTGCAGAAATTACCTTTATTTCCGAGTGTTAATATTTTTTTTGGGGTATATTCTTTATGTGCCGAATAGGTGAGAACACACATTCAACTATTTGCATGAAAATTGATGGCTATGAGACAGCACTCATCTTAGAATTTGGAACTTTAGAGTGAGCACAAATTAGATTTTGCAATTGAATACGCTACCTGGATTCTGTGTAAAATATGTTGCATTTTTAGTAGGATGTGTGACTGCTCACTACGAAAACGATTGCTCTCGCAAATTGTGACATATTAGCTCAAAAATTCCTTGGCTCCTCGTTAACCAAAGGCTATGTTTCATTCACTTCTCAACAGAAGCTTACTTCCGTCACCAAACACCTAGAGGCCAAATGATCTTTTAGCACCAGTTTTGACTCAAAACAACTTTAAGAAATTGTAAACCAAAACATAATAATATCGCAAGAGATAAAACTGAATTGATGAGTATTGTAGTATTCCAGAAACAAGTTCAAACGAATAGGTCAACGAGAAGACAGAGAACAGAAATGATGCTGTCGCGAGCAAGACAACCAAGAATTCCATCATGACAAAACAACCAACAATGAACTAACTGGAGAAATTCAGTCATCAGGGAAGCGAAGGTGTTTCCCTTTTGGTGTTGGCAAGCCCTTCAATTTCAAGACGCTTGGCGAAGCAGTTGATGCCGATTCACTCTGTAGACCACAAACTTCCTCCTCTCCTTCGAGCTCGTCATCACTGTTGTAGACAAACCGAGTGTGCTTGCCAGCAAATTCTCCCATAGTCCCCTCACCATTCACACGGATCTTGCTGATTGCATCACACAGTTCATCAACCAATTCTAAATCATCTTCCTTTTCTTCTTCTTCATCATAATAGTAGTCATTGTCGCACTCCTCTTCAACTCCATCAAGGCCTTCCTCATCGTCTTCTTCTAGATCATCTATAGTACTTGCATTAACCTGAATGGACCAAATAGATGAATCATCATCATCAGTGGTTGCCCTTTCTTTGCCTTCGCTCTCTCCCCCTTGGTACGTCACCCCAGATGAACATTCAGATCCTTCTGATTTTTCAGAAAAATCCAGTATCAGAGACCTTGTAATCATCGAACTCTTGTCGGACTGATTGCCCTCTTGTTTCTTTCCATCAAAAATCTCACTAACCATCTATATAAACATTCCAAAAAACAAAAAAGGTATGAATTAAAAAAAAGGCCATATAAAGACGAAGAATACAAGAAAATACAAATTTAGTTTCTCTTAATTTAAAAAGAATAAAAAAGTTTAGAAGATGAAAAAACCTGAGAAATGATAAAATTTTCTTCTACAGGAGATTGGGTTAAGGAAGCCAACCCACTGGTGTGGGAACTGCCATTGGCAGAGAGGTTCAGGATTTGTGGGGTATTCGCTGGTGTAGGGGCTGCAAGAGTCAAAGGAGAATTAATGAAGGCTTGGAGGTGGAGGAAAGGCCTATTTTCCGAAGACAATTTGGAGTGCTCAGCCTCTTCTTCAACTTTCTGCAGTAAAGTCTTGACTTGCCCCCTCAAAAGTGCTTCCCCTGAACCAGGAGTGCCATCATGCTTCGCTCTGCTGCTAAATCTTTTCTTGGACATGGCTGACGATGGGGTCTCCAAACTTCCCATTGCAAGCCCAACTATTGGAGAATCATTGGTGATATCAATCAGGGCTGAGCGATCTTGCTGCTTCCCGTTCTTTCTGTGTCTTGATTTTGTCAGACCAGTTTCAGATTCTTCAATTTTCCCTGAAGAAACAAGAAAAATCAAAATTAAGTCCTTAAATTTATTATCCCAGAATCTCTTATTTTGCACAGAGGAAAGAAAAATGGAATTGAACTGTTATATTTACTTAATGTGGAAACGCTAGTAGCACTGCTGTTTGCGGCAGCAGCGGACAAGGTTTGTGATCTTGTGACTCTTCTCGTCGATGATGGAGTCTCCATTGGAATTGCGGAAAACCAAGAGGAAAAAAAAAAAAAGAAATAAGAAGATTACGTCTTGGCTGCAGAAAAAATTGAACTTTTCCGATGAGGGATGAAAGCAGATGGATGGACACAAATTGTAAGAAAGGAAGAAGGAGATGTTTTGTGGGCAGAAAGGTGATGGTCTTATACAAATATTAATTGAGAAATATAGGGTTGGGACTTCGGAGACGGAAAATGTGACCGTTAGAGCGTGATAAGGCGGCGTTACGTAACTAGCCGTTGAGATTTGAATGGAGGCAGAGGCAGGGCAGGCCTGGAGCTACTACCCATTTATCTGGTTTTACTGGGCACGTCGTGATCGTTGGATGCTCAGAGCCCAGTCCCAAATGGGCATGTCATTTACAGCCCAATAGTTCAAGTCTGCGAATTGGAGACCGCGACGTCCCATCAGACAATGCCCAGTACTTATTTGATATTCCTATTTATTTCCCGAACAAAAAGGCAAAAGGAAATCTGGGAATTGTTTCACACACCTGTCTAAAGACAGATACAGCCTGTCCTTTACTTTCCTGTCCATCTTCTGGACCAACTAATTTCCTTGCTCACTACTACGGCCCTCTTTACAATTTGTGTCAATAATGCCTTTCAATATTTGCCAAATCCCACAGGAATTTGGCGCATAAAGCTTTTTTTTTTTTATTATGCATAATGTGACCAATTATTTATTATTAGTAAAATCAGGTATAGAATTTCAATTGGACTGCATTTTACTTGGAGCATGCACAAATTTTATTTTGCTTTATTTTTTCGAATAAAAATATATTTCTCGACCGTTTTTTCAGTTCACATGTATTATTGAAACTTTACGATACATTTTTTTTTTCTACAAAAATTCTAAAAAAACAGACGGGCTATTAACATCGCGCAAGCCAGCTGTCTCTGAGAAGGCAATTATCTGTCTTCCACCTCCGTACTGGATGCATGATCATCATATATATATATGTATACTTACTGTACAATGGATGACATGTAGTAAGTAATAATGATGCATGTACTCGAAAAACAATAAAGGAGTGTGACAGCTAGGGCGTGGACCGTGGAGACAGTGTGGGTCGCCGGGGTTTGTTTCTGACATTTGATCAGAGTCAGACCTACCTGCCCGCCCTGGTAAAGCTAAACATTTGTCCACCTGATTTATTCAAAGCTCACCGGCTAGTTGTACCATTTTGGATTTGGTGGGACACCCACACCACTTGAAATTGGATACTGTTAAAAGAGTGGCATCATAATTAAATAAGATTTTTCTCTCTGATGAATGTCCAGTTTTTTATGAATACATTTATCATGTGAATTCATACAATTTTTTTTTTAATTAAACAATTTAACATATGAACTGCACCTTATTAGGGAGTGTTCACTGGGCATTTGCTTGACAGATCTATAAGGGGATTTTCTCATAATTAAATACTTGAGTCGTCACACACACGGAGTATGCTTGGATAAGTTATTATTTGAAAAAAAATTAATTATGTTATAAATACATTTTTGGCCTCACAAATCCCAATCACTTTTTTATCTTCCCAACCACCTTTTTATCTCACATACATCACATCACAAAAGTGCTACAGTAAATATCTCAAATAAATCATCCAAATAAACTCTTATCCAAACAAACTCACTATTGATATTCGAATAAGCTGTTATTAGATGGATGCTCACAATTATTTTTAGCTCTTGAATTGCAAAATAGCTTTTTTATTATTGCTATTGACAAATGCGAGTGGTTAGATCTAAACTATCATTTAATAATTACAACATAGCTTTCAAAAGAGTAGAGTGTTACGCTGCCAACTGTGGTTGACCAAGGCATTGACTTGAAATGACCATGTCCTATGATTTCTTTTTAATAATTACTGTATTACTTTTTCAATTTGTAATTTTTTGGAAACTGCCCTTTCTAAATTAAGCTAGAAACCATAAAATCATAATCCTTCCTTCTGAGAATGGATTAACTACTCCCCTATATATGCAGATGCTATACGCTGGAGTGAGTAGTTAGTTCATTTAAACGGCCGCTTGGTGTCTTCCCACTAACTAATAAACAAGAATGGATTAGTGAGAAGTGGGAGGGACGATAGGGACTCGTTTAGCATCGCTCGTAATACTCTCTCATTCTCATCGCTCCTGGCAGGAAATGAATTTGGATCCCCACTCGAGCAGCGTAAATATTGAAGAATATGAATTTGGATTTTGGAGTGAAGACCATAAAACCAACACGCCATCAATCAAGAGATTTGAGAATGAGCTAGCTATTGATTCCACTTGATTGATACCTACTACAACGATAATAATAGCCTCTCACAACAATGAATATAATTAAATTGGAAGAAAAATATAGATAATATATAATGAGAGCGCTATAGCAGAGGCTCTCTCTTATTCTTTCTTTATGTGCACACACACTTGTTGTTTTGCAGAGCAAATCCTGAGCGGAGAAGTACTCAAGGACACTTGCGGACAACCTTTCCGGTGGATTTATTGACTGTGGTGAGCTTGTAATAGCAGGGACAGGCTTCGTAGTTGCCAGAAGTTCCAGGAGGGACGCAGCTGCACTTGGCACAGCAGCTCCCGCAAGCCCTCTTGCAAAGATTAGGCCTCTTTGTCTTCGAGCATCGATACCCACAAGCAGCACCACAATCTGAATTAGTACACGACAGAATCAAATGAAAATCCGCATTGAACCCAGATAGGGAAATCTACTGTGAATGCAAGTTAACGGTATGAGGATTTAAAGTCATGCAAATTCACTGAAGTTCACGGTACCTATCGGCTTGGGGGCTGGCAGAGGGCTCGGACTTGGACTTGGAATCCCTTTGCTCACCTGCCAAAATTATTCACACAAACGGGTTATTCCAAATTGCCAGAAAAGGTTGATTCCGCGCTCCATTTTTTTTTTTTGGCCTTCATAAATTCAAAAAGAAGAAGAAGAAGAAGAAGAAAAAGAAAAGGTGGCAGGGCATAAAGGGAGATTGTACCACTTGGGCGGCGTCAGTGAGGTGGATCAGCAGAAGAGCACTCAAAATGAGAAAAGCACAGGCTTTGAGAATTGCCATCGTCTAAGAAAAACACACAACTACTACTATTATTAGCAGCAAGAAGCTGAGAGCAATGGGCAATATGTAGATGGATTTGCTAATCGCTACAGCTAGTGAGATCAGATGGGATGTGAGGAAATGAGGGACAGGAGAGATGTATATATAGCAGAGGAGAAGGGCAATTGAATTAAGTAGTACAGGGACAAAAGTGGTGGTGGGGTTGTACTTTGGAGTTAGGATTTAGGAACTTAGGAGCTGGGGTTAGGCTTAAGCAAGGGCGGGAACATTTTCTTTCCCACTTGCCTCACTAATCACTAGGTTTGTAACACGGCTTGAGCTAAATTGAGCAGGAAATTGCTGGGAAGGTTGGTTTTGCTGTACCACCTCGAGCAGGGATCACTATTTCAATTTAATATAGCAAAAAATGGCCAAGGTCAGCTTGTAATTTAGAGTGGCATTCCAGATACTTCAATGGAGACATTACACTCATCGATTTGTGGGCAATAGTGGTTGCACAAGTGCAAAGGTGACAAAGGAAGCATCTGTGAAATTGGAATAAATGCCTTCATCTAACTATTTTATGAGCATGTACGACTCATCTCCTTGAAATTCTGCCCATGCAAATGCAGCATTGCCGATTGCTTATGGTTTGCCAGGAGTTTCGCACCGTCTCTTTCTGTGAATTGGTAGTTCTCAGACCAATAATATCTCACAATTTGCCACCCTGGAATATTAAGGTTTGTACTAAGCAAGCTGTAACTGTGCTCGTTATTCACCCCTTTGCCTTTTGGACGCGCTTTCTGTAACAAATAAATTTTGTTTTTGAAGACAAAACACATTACTAATTGTTGAAAGCACATTTAACTGGTGGAGATACTTATGAAAGTCTAATTGCATTTATATTCTAGAAACGGCCATCTTCAATAATGCCGTTTATGGTTTTGGTCAAAAGAGAGAAAAATTTTACCTTTTTATGGTTGGGACTTGGGATGAGGCCATCTTCAATCCATTTATTTTATATTTGGGAAGTCAGCTTGTTTGATAATCTAATTCAATATTTAAACTTAATATGGGTTCAAATTTTAATATGTTCAGACACTTTCGATAATCAAAACTAGAATAAAATATCTGAATTAATTAAATGATATTGAATTTTATAGACAAAAGTTGCTCTAATAAATAAGTGATAAATTATTCATTTATCACTTAATGTGATATACACTTAAATGTATCAAATTTAATACTTATAATTCAGTAATTTAATGAATTTCAAATTTTAAATTTTAATTTTATCGAACGCACGGTAAAGAAATTAAGAAAAGGTTAGTTCAAGTTTACCAATGTTCTTGATTTGTCTTAAAGATTAGACAATCGGCCCAAATAGTTGTGGGCTCAACCTTTCTATTTCACTAACGGAAAGGATTTATGCATTTTCTCGGTCGCATTAAAACGACATTAAACCCTTTAATGGGCCTTGTTGAAACCTTTTTTCTAGTTATATTACGACGAACAGCTTTGTGGGACAACGTGGAGACATTTTATGGGCTAACTCTGTCTATGTCCGCAAAGAGCCATTTTGGAACATTTGGGGAAAAAAAGTCACTCAGGGTTTAGCAGGTCTACTACCCCTCGGTAAGAAGGAAAAAAAAAAAACTAGCCCTTTGACAAGGATTGCATTAGATAATAAGATGGACGGATTATAAATAGGAGATACTTTGTTCAAAATCTCCCACTTCAAAAGAAGACAAAAAAAAGTCTACAACCTCTATTAGAATAACGTCAAGGACACCCAAAAACTACCTCGAAAATATGGAAAGGCTGCACGCCAATAAATTTCTTGAAAACTTGATTTTATAGGTTGATTTCTTTGAACCTCATCTAATCGACTCATTGCTAAATTGGTCTCAGAGCTGAAGCAGCAGACTGCATTTGGCCTTGACATTTTTAGCTTGTTTGTTGCTGTTTACTGTAACACAACAAAAATCTGGCTACAAACGAAGCAAATTAGTTATAATCTCTAGTCTTCTAATTAAGCTTCCCAGATGATGCCTTCAATATATAGTAGTAACCCATCAAAATAAAAAA